CCGAATCATAGATCTCATTTACAGACATTCTTCGCCATTGTCCTCGCATTTTCGATCGTAGGGAATGCAAACATCCAACTGCAACCGAGAAACCGAGTACAAAATCTTCTTCGTAGTTAAAGTTCAAGGTCAAAGATTCCTTAAGGTCGCGAAACAGCCGAGGACAACGCGTGACAGCAAGAGAATCGTAATCGCCGCCGTTCCAGTACAGAATCAAGAAGATGCGCCGCTTCTGGCGATTCGTTTAATTAACGCGCTCCGTGTCCGCGGCGTCATTGAAATCGTCGTTGAAAAGCGTCTTCATCCGTTCCGGTTGGATCGGTTCCCCGGATCCAGCCTTAACGAGCGCGGCCATACAAAATGGCGACTCTAATGATCTCTGCAGCGAACTGCTGACCGCAGCTTTTCATCAAAAACCGGGACGATACAGGCGCGAAACTTTCGATAATCGAGGACGGGGGGACTCCGTTGACGGGCTCGGCGATCAACGGTGTCCCGATACGATCGAAATCGGCATCGGGAAGCTCGAACCGTTCGTTCTACGGAGACGTTCTTCGCGGAAAGTCGCGGCGCGAATCGATCGAACAATTTCGCGCGGAACGAGATTTCCGCGTTCCGTCGGTTCCGGCTGACGTTTCACGGTAGCCTCTCGTCTCGCGTGGGCGCGACGCGGGCAAAATTGCGGACGGCGTTCCCGGAATCGCGAAAATATTAATCCGCCGTTCCCGGACAACGGCAATCGAGCTGACGCGCCAGTTCCCCGAAAATCATCCGCCCACGCGCGACGCCATTGTCCGGCACTCGGGGGGCCGTTTCCACGGAAGCTTCGCCGGTGTGTTCCGGGCAACATCTGCGGATTAGCCGGGGACCGGTTGTTTAGTCGCGACACACTCGACCGGTTCAGACGCCGCTCGATATTTCGGAGATTAGTCGGAGATTTAGCCTCGGGCTCTGTTCTGCAACGACGACGCGCTCGTCGATCATTCGGATCCAGACTCTCGCGCCGATCCTCGGAACCGGTCCGAAAGTTCACCCATTTTTGCGTCGTGCTTTTCGTTCGCAACACGGAGAAATCGAAGCTCTTTGTTCAGTATCGAGACAAGAAAATCGCCGCGTTTCCACTGGGTGGGGCATTCGAAACGAGACAACCGAACGACTCGCGCGTTTTTTAATAGAAGTGTCGGACGAAAGTTGACCTCGAATGATCTATATTTATAGGTCATTGTATTCGTCTTGAAAGGCTCTATCGGAATATTAATAAAAAGTTAGGTTCTCTTATTTAAAAAAGCAAGCTTGACCTTCGCATGACCTCTATGCTTCTACATATAAAAAAACTGTTGAAATTTTATTATACGGCCTTTGAAATAAAGCAACTTTTGTTGGATACTTTTCTTTCTATCGTCAAAAAGAAGCGAGTTATTAACGTTTCAAATGGCCCATCCTGTATATCGTGGAACGTTCGTGGGTTTCGGGCCCGCATCAGGCCCACGGTGCCGCGGGATTCTTAGACTTGACAGGAAATAATCAATGCTCGTCGTACAGCCATGATCTTCCAATATTTTTGTCAATATAATAATGTCTCTCTAATTGACGCCCAGATTGTGCACAAAAATGGACAATTCGGGAAGAGAAGTTACGATTGCTCGAGCCTTGAGACTCGTTCTTTGTGGTTATCGATTGTCAAAAACTATAAAAAAGAGCCGGAAGGCTCGAACAATCGTATCTCCTCTTCTCAAATTATCCATTTTAGTGGACAATTCGAGCGTCAGTAAGGGAGACATTACAGTATAGTAATGTCTCTCTAATTAACGCCCCGATTGACCACAAAAATGGACAATTTGGGAAGAGGAAATACGATTGTTCAAGCCTTCTGACTCCTTCTTTATGATTACCGATTGTCAACAACTATAAACACGAGCCGCAAAGCTCGAACAATCGTATCTCCTCTTCTCAAATTATCCATTTTAGTAGACAATTGACAGTAAGGGAAACATTACAGTATAGCAATGTCTATCTAATTGACGCCCCGATTGACCACAAAAATGGACAATTCGGGAAGAGAAGATACGATTGCTCGAGCCTTGTGACTCCTTCTTTATGATCATCGATTGTCAACAACTATAAAAACGAGCCGCAAAGCTCGAACGATCGTATCTTCTCTTCCCAAATTATCCATTTTAGTGGACAATTCGAGCGTCGATTAGAGAGACATTGCTGTATTCGATAAAAGCCGACCCTTCGAGCCCTCGCGACTTTTGCAACACAAAAAGTTCGTCGAGGGCCGCGCGGCTAATGCACGACGGAGAACACTTTCGAATCAATTCGGGACAATGACACGTCGACCGTGCATTGTCGGCCGGAGATTAATGACGGCGATGAACTAGAAACCCCCGGACGCCGCGGCGTGTAACCTACATTTAATCTATTACTGATAATTCCGCGCGTATTGGGAGACCATGCTGGAACTACGCTGTTAGCGTGAGCTAAGTGTCTGGATATCAGATTCGCCGGCACAATCGATGAACCGGGAGACGCGTCGCTATACACGTATAGGCTCGCCATTCATTGCAGATAATGTTCCGCACGCCTTGGGGCTAGGTTGGAACTCGATCGTGAATGCTGACGCAAGTACCGTAGACAGTTCGAGGCGAACAAAATGGACGAATTAGACTGACAGCCCTGAATATCCCTTGTTGTCTGCGCGCGGCCCCTCGAAATGCGAAATTTTGATGACGCGGGTGGCTTCGGGAACCTCGGTTGCACTCGCACAACCAAATTATTTTGGCTGGGCACAGGCGCTAACAGCAATTCGAGGACACGCGTCCTGCCGGAATCGTTATTGGTGCACGAAGTAACACAATCGAACCTAATTCAAGACATAGTTCATAGTCCTGATGCTTCTCATAGTCCCCATAGTCCTCCGAATCCTCGGAAATCCTCGAAAATCCTCGTAAACTAAAAAACATCGAAGCCTCCATTTTACATCCAAACGTAACTCTGATGACCCATCCATGACCTCGCAGGACACATGACTCTACCACAGACACAAACGTTCTGATCCTCGAGTTCCAAAGCGGTCTTTGGACGGCTTTGTTAATTGAGAAAAGTCGCGAACGTCCCTGGACGTTCTACTAATGTTACACACGATCAAACAGAACCGATTCTGAATCAGTAATCCAAATAGTTCAGACGGTTCTCTAGTTGCCTAGTAAACACAGTGAGCACCGCGCACGTTCCGAGACAAATATTGAGCCAGACTAGCGTGATCCGAGTAGATTATACGGGCTGAGGCGGTGGCTGCGGCTGTCTTGAGAAATATGCGAGCAGAAGAACAATTTATGCGGCCAAGAGTTCCGCGCTACAGAAACCGTCGCCGTTTGCTCGAGACTTTGTTCTGGGTCAAGATGAGCCGGGGACTCGGAGTTCTTCAGCGTTCTAGAGCCCTCTTTCTAGGACTCGGCGGCGGGATCTTTCGTGACCAAAAATTTTTAATTGTTGGAATTGGAATTGTTGGAGAGTCGAGCGTCGAGCGTATCACGCGAGGCATCGAATTCTGGATGTCGATGTGTCGTTCATCGAAGTGTTCACATTTTTTTGTGTAATGTTCTAAGTGGTGATGACTATAATAGCTGGAAGATGATATGTAATAACTGGACGGTCGATTTTATGGATTTGTTGCAAAATTTGGAGGTACCGATATGGAATAATAAGAATACTTCAAGCGTCTGTTGTTGTATTGCTTGCAAATCGTTAAATTCGTCAGGAGAAGAGACGTGCATTTATATTTAACTCGTGTTTTTTTTGTTATTAATGTGGATGAATTTATTTTGCATAAATATCTGCAGACTAATTTGATCTTTAAATACAAATTACAGTAATTTTTTCCTAATTCGTGCTTATGAATATGCGATTATTTTTATTTGTAGACACGATTTGATTTTTTATTTTTATAGTTAACGATTGTGAACGACTATAAAAACGAGACGCGAGGCTCGAATAATCGTTTTTCCTCTTCTCGAATTGTCCTCTTTTGTGCGCAATTTGAGCACGAATTAGGGAGGAATTACTGTATCTGGGCAGTTTTTACGAAAATTAAAGTTGAAGGATTTGTTTCTTGTATGAATAATTACGATATTTATTATAAAATGTTATTATAATGTATTATAAAATATTGTGTTATAGTATATTATAAAATGTTACTATAGTATATTATAGAATATCATTATAATATATTCTAAAATATTATTACAATATATTCTAAAATATTATTACAATATATTCTAAAATATTATTACAATATATTATAAAATATTATTATAATACATTATAAAATATTATTATAATATACTCTAAAATATTATTACAATATATTCTAAAATATTATTATAATATATTCTAAAATATTATTACAATACATTATAAAATATTATTACAATATACTCTAAAATATTATTACAATATATTCTAAAATATTATTACAATATATTACAAAACATTATCATAATACATTATAAAATATCATTACAATATATTACAAAATACTATTATACAATATTTATTAGAAAATCGGCCGTCATTCGTCGCACATAAAGAGATCAAAATCCAGCGCAATGCTTCCTTCGGAACAACAGAAAAATTTTTAATTTTAAACCTAAATGACCGGACTATGACATAGCGCGTGCCTGGATCATTCCCAGCCCTCTAAGAGACAATACCCAAGAGCAAAAAGACTTTCGAAACGTCTAAATATAAAAGAAAACATATCCACCGAGCAGCGGCAGCGATTTCTGTGGTCCTCGGTAACAATCGCAACAAAACATTTCCGATTCTCTATCGCGTTTCCACGAAAATCGAAGGCAGCGACAGCCACTGGCCCCTCCGCCCGAAACAGCAGTCTCCTTGCGAACAAAACAAAAAGAACACGAAAGACACAAAGAACAACATCCATAATGAACTCTACCAGGCGTATTGCGAGAACACGTTTCCGAATGGGTTTGCAGATCCCCCTTTATCAACAGCCGGAGAGGCACTACGAGCGTCGGGCGACACCGCCCCAACCAGACCGAACGAGCAAGGTGTGCCTGCCTAGTAACCCCGAAACCAAGGCCAAATGCCCTTTCTTGATTCAAGCGTTCGTTAACTTAAACCTTAATGTTTCTACGTATAACTATGAACATATATATATGTATACATATATACCATATACATATATACATTATACGCTAGTCTCATTATGTACATACATATATATATAGTACCATATATTGTTTTTCTGTTAAGGTTATCCGTTAATTAACTATTAACCGTTGTTTTCGATTGATCCACTCGTTGTGTCGTTTGGTTTGAGACATATATATATATACCCTATAGAGGAATCGTGCTTAGTCTTGCCGTCTTTACACC